TGTATATATATGTTATTTGTTTTTTAAATGATGCACTGAATATCCTTATAATATTCTAATGTTCTTGAACTATTAAGTTAAATACAAATTAAACTTTACAAAAAATGTATTTATTGTAATATTTCCTCATTAAAATTTTTTACACAGAAATAAATGAATAGGAATTTAAAATGATGTATATTCATATGAGCTGAAGACTCCAGGCATATCAGTAGCCTAGAAAAATCTGTTTGATGTGGTGGATTACAATTATTAATTCCGTTTAGTAAATGAAAGAAACACTGAATGCACTTATACTGTTTAAGTTGCACAAACCAAGTGTTTTAATGAGGTGTTTGCATATGTGAGCAGGGATCAGCAGCACAGTAACGGTGACGTCCGGACGCCTGCGGCGGACAGTCTGGAGTTCAAACTCCTGATGGCATACACCCGCAAGAGACGACCCACCGACACCCGTCTGCCACAGAACGTCCCGTCTTCACCACAGCTGCCTGAAGAACACGGCAAACCAAAGAAAAATAAAAGAAAGAAGAGACTGTCGTCTCTCTTAAAGTGTATTAAACCACAGACAGATGATGTACGTGTACGAGAGCCAGCAACATTTTTCAGTAAGTGTGAAATATTAATCTTAATGTGTGGCTGCTTAAAGTGTTTTTTAAAACATTCCCTATTGAGGAAGTGAGATTGTAGAGATTCCAGCGTCTGATTTGCTTCCGTCGGTTTCAGGCGATGGGAAAGTGAAGAAGATGGAGAACATGGTCAGTGAGCTGACAGAGCTATCAGACTCTGTGCACTTCACTCCCTGTGAAATAGAACCGGACGGGGCAGAAGATGAGGAGTCTGGTAAGAGCTCATTCTTCCCATTTGATTTCACGCTCAGATTTAGCTATATTTGCTGTCACCGAGTCCCTTCATTCAGATGTGGTTAGTTCCATCTGAACTGCTCATTTCTGTTCTCTCGGCAGATGTTGCGAGAAAGCTGGCCGAGCTCCTTAGAGAACAAGGTGATGAACTGAATGAAAAGGTCAGTGAATTGAGCTCTCGTGATGGCATTTGATCCTGACCACCAGGTGTCTCTGCAGACACCGTTTCTATCCCAGTCCAAAAGTCTGAGAAGCATTAAGAGAAATTCAAATGCACATTTGAACATTTAGTATTGTAGTGTGTGTAAATATATACATAATAGTTATATACAGTTATTATACTGTAATGGTTTAATTCCCCCGTACATTAGAATGTGTCCCAGGGCAACAACAAACCATAAAAAGAATATTTTATTTTATTACATTATTATACTGTAAGGATATTCCGTGTAATTGAATTGAATTTAATTCAGTGTAATGTAATTTAAGACGAGATGTTGCATTTTGGTGTCTGCATCAAATTAAATTCACAAAAGTGATTTTATATACACAGAAAGCATATTAAATGCAAGTAAAGTGTCTACTTTAAAGTTTCAATGAACTTTTTTTGTGAAAAAAAAAGTCAAAATATAGATAACATTTTCCTTCGTCATTGTCTACTTGACTCGCTCTGTCTCAGCATTCACCTCGCGCCTGCGCTGTTGTACGCGGACCGTCCACACGGTCACAAAAATTGGGCACTTCAGACCTCAACCCACCCCCATGTCATCATTCATCGTGATGTTTCACTGTAGACATCGCCCAACCCTACCCTGAATATCCTTATAACATTCTTAAACTATTAAATGTTCTTATTGTGAAAGATATGCTTAATTTTTAGCCTACAAAACAAATCTGTAGTTATTCAAAAAATGCTTGAATAACTAGAATTTGCTCATGTTAGACCTGAAACAGTTTAGACGTTAAGTAATGAGTCACAAACAGTAAAAACAACATCTCAACATCACGAACAGACTTACCAACATCTCTTCTCTTGTCTCTGAACCTCTGCGGCAGATTAAGGCAGACAAGGTCTTGCTTGAAGCACTGCAGTCCTCGCTCACATACGGCTTCTTCATGAAAGTGATGGAAGCTTTCTGTGGAAGTGTCTCACCAGACGTGCCTCCAGAGCAGAAAGACAAGAAAGTCAATGTGGCTCTGGTCTGTGAAGCCACCAGTCAGCTTGTTGGCGTCCATTATCATCCAGTGACCTACGTGATGGGCTTAGGTGCCCGGTATCTACAGGAAAAATACTCCACGTGGATTAGCAGAAACATGGATGTAGGCAATGTAAGTGTCACAGTGACGACGCACTTATTCACAACAATGACATCTGGCCTAATAACACATACTAACATTTTTTTCCCTTCACAGGGAGAAGTTGGTGATGAATCCAAAGAGGAAGTCCAGTGAGCAGATGAGATGCTCTCCTCGCATTACAACATCTTTCTCAGGGGCACAGGCACTTTATTAACCTGAAAAAGTGGTTTTGTTCGGTGAACCAGCAATGATATCTTGTTTTTGTTCTCCATTACATCCTCATAGCATCCAAGAGAAAAAAAAGAGGTAGTTCATAGTGCCAAATCTAAGCGTATGGTCACCATACCTCACAAAAAAATGCTACGGATACTGCCTCAAAACATGTGCTTTGAAAACCAGCATTATACATGTTTACATGTTTAACGCCACTTTTTGTCATTTAATGTAGCATCCAAATTGTCATTAATTGTTATTTGCCCTTTTGTTAAAACTGTACTTTTGTTTCGAAATTAACATTTATTTTCTTATCCTTGAACTTTAAAGTGATTAAGAGAATATAAAATGTCTTAATAATGAAATTTGTATATTTTTTTCAGTGTTGTAATATTAAAATAACTGTGTAAATTTGTAATTTTGTCTCTCTGTTTTTTTACTAGTAAGTATGTGGACCAACTTTTCTAGTTAAAATGTCATCGATTAATCTTTTGGTTGAAGTCTACAATAATTTGATCACCAGCCCAGCTGTTTAACCACTAAACCAAAGGCTTCTAGTCAGAGTTATTATAATTTTTACTAATATTTTAAATGTTATATATATATATATATATATATATATATATACTGTATATATTTCATTTTCATTTTTTATGTCGTTTTTTTTTTTTTTTTCATTTTTAGTTCATTTAGTACAAATTAAACAATTTTTAAATAAAGTTATTTAATATAAAGTTAACGTTTATTTTATTATTGTTTATTAGTTTGATCATATCGAACTTTCTTCTAGTTTTTGTTAACTGTAACAACCCTGCTTCTGGTAATTGATTTGATCTAATAACCACAGACCGTGGGTGTCTCCCGCATCTTGCGCACAGCTCTGCTCAGGTGAAACATGAGACGCGCTCTGTGCACCTGTCTTACCTGCTTGAGCGCAACAAGCCTTCTCTCGAAGCCTGAGACATGTCTCGTCGCAAGCCTCCACGAACAGGCTTCTTGGATCTACAGATGTTTGTGTGTTTCCTCCGGCGCACTAGGTAACGCAGTCATGATGCATCACAATAGGAAGTACTCACCACCGCGCTACTGCGCCGTCGGGTCACCGCTAGCCCTGCCTCAGCTGAACCGATTACCCACTTTTCGGGTGGAAGAAGTTGAGCTGATGGAGAAGAATTCACCGAAAGCCAAATCCAGAATGCGAAACGCCAAGGTGAAGGCGGTGAGGAGAGCTCCGTCTCCCCAGAGGCCGCGCGTCTTTCCAAACCCCGCGCAAAGCGACGCGCTACTGAAGGTGGCAGAGAACGGGGCAGCCGGACAGCGGTCTAGAAAGAGGGGCTTCAAACCCCCGGATGTCAGGACGATATTCGAACCTTCGGCCAAAGACCCCCGCGTGAAAGAGGAGAAAGGAGAAGGACACACGTTTTGTGAGGACGCGACGTACGCTTGGTGCGATGTGTGTTGCTCGTATATTTTTCACGGTGGCTTGACATGTACAGGTGAGAACTTTTATTTTTATTATATCATTACACGATTATATTATATTATTAGTCTAGACAAGGTCGAGTCATCACCATATTGTGATGTTCATCAAGACACTTGATGCCGCTCCTGTAGTTAAAAAGTAGGTAGGTAAATAAAAATCATTACATTATAATATTTCATAAACGCATCATAAACTCTATGCATGTTCTTGAGATTCCTCACACACCACACACTCATTTACAGGCATGCTGACAGACTGGTTCGGACTTGTAAATTCATTGTGTTGCACCTTGTTTACCCACATTTACTTTACTTGTGTCACAAATATGACTAATAATTATACATGACAATGCAAATAGCCAAGTGTAATCGTAATTAATTTGATCAAATCCAGGTCTCAGTTTCTATAGAAACTGGTCATTTGCAGGTGAAATGGTCACTGGCAGTGACGGTTGACGTTTTCATTCCTGACTGAATGCCTTGCATTGTTCCCAGTAGTGAAAACATTCCTAAAAATCATATGCAAAGCATTATCTGCTTTGCCCTGCAGCCAAATTTTGTATTGTAAATTTTGGCATCCTAAAAAAGCATGATTATACTGATGGCTAGCAGTGAAAGGGTATTTCTTTGAGTTTTTGATTAAATTAGACCCTGAGACGAATGAATTCATTCTCTTTAATATGGCTCTCTGTCTTGAACTGCCTTTGTGCAGAGGTTGTCCATTCACAAGTGTTAACTCAAATGGAACAACTGGACAAAGGTAACTTTCACTGAATCTTCTGGCTGCTCGACTCGAGTGATCAGGTAATTGAGAGCGAGAAAGTAATTGGTTTGGCTGATTAGCTTGAAAGCCTTACTAGTCTGTAATTTCGTTATTAGCTAATTTTAAGGGGCCTCTTACAGATCCTTGAATATGTGGGCAGAGAAAACATTCACTAACTCATGTTTTCTGTGAGAGTAGCGTCTGTTTTGATGATGTTAAGGTGGATAATGAGTTTGCTTGCTTTGGTTTGATGGTTGTTAGACTTGTTTAGGTTTGTAGGTGCATTGGTGTGGGTCAGTGACCATGTTTACACGCACATGATTAATTGCCATATACTGACATATTTCAGTTTCTATAAAACTAAAGACAGCAAGCATATCCCTGTATAAACTGATATTGTGTGGGATGCAAAAGTGTTTTTGTAATCGAAATAATCTGAAATATATTATAAATATATTTTAAAATAAAATCAAAAATATTAGCTGAAAAATGTAAGCTTAAAAAAATGTATAAAGTTTAGAAATAAATAAGTTGAAGTACTAAAATTACTAAAACTGAAATAAAAATAAACTAAAGCTAATTAGAAATAAAAGCTAATAAAAATGACAAAAGCATATTTTAATTATTAATAAAAAATTGACTATAATTAATTGAAAAATATACAAATAAAAGCTAATTCAAAATATTAGTAAATACTATAATAGTACATAAATAATACTAAAATAACACTAGAATGACTAAAATTCACTCAGTAACATACACGGTTAATTTGCATATATACAAACAAAAGTATTATGAAAAATGGTAAAAGTACATTCATAAACATGTTTATTCAGAATATGCCGATTACATGTACAGTATATGGGAATATTCCAATAGCAATGAAGCATATTAATGTAATATACTGTATGCTGTTTAAATTTAAATTGGAAAGTGCATGAAACGTGGTCACTGACAGTTTCCTCCTTGTATATCTTGTGTTTTTTGCCACCTGTAACATCAGCAATGGTTGTGATGAAAAACAGGGAAAGTAAAGCTTTTCGGCCTTTTAACTGGTTTTCACTGTAGCGTCTCTGTATTCTGTGGGATTTCTCTTCACTGTAAATAATAGTCTGTATGTACAATATACCTAAGCAAAATGAACAAAGATACCTTTTTTCCATCTTTGTGGGTCACGTTCCTTTGGCCCTCTCAGCTAGACTGCATTGTGTGCTGCTATTTGACACCCACCTGTCGGCTCCCCTAATGCCCATCTGTTTGTTTGTGTCATGGCAGTGACAGTGTGTCTAGAGAAGGCACACCGTCCTGTCACAGCACAACCTCGGCTTACAGTGAGCTTCCCCTCAACCAGCTGACGCAGTCGCAGGGGAACCACGGAGGCCACTGAACAACTGCACACACACACACTCACTGGAGCAGGGGGCTCAATGACAGGAGACCACTAGCGGTGAGTAGTCAGAAGCCATGATGCAGGGAAGACATTTCAGGGGTTGAAGTGAGACTTGATGTTGCTCTGGTCATGGGTCTGGGGAAAGGCTTTGCAAGAACTTTGAGAAGACTTACTGGAATCCTCTACCGCTTCCCAAAAGCGATGCGGCGCTCCAGGCGACTGGAAGATAGTCTGCTGTGGAAGTCATCCGGTGGGTCCAGATCTCTTTGCTTTTTGTAGTTTTATCGTTCAGGCAAGTGGAATTTAGATGACGACTTCATACTGATGAGGACAGATATAGTGTCATTTCTTGTACAGACATTACTGACCTTCTTGTCTTTTAATTTTATTTATTTTTTAGCTTTTTTATTATTAGTTTGAATGTAGTCAGCTATTGACATTTTAACTCTTGCTAATAAAAAATAGGTATTGATAATCAATCTAGATTTTTACATTTTCTGAAGCATATTGTATGTGGTTGCTTACTGGCCGAAGTCAGTCATTCTCCAATGGAAAATATTTTAATAATAAACTTAAACTACACCGGTCTTCATTGCATATGGCAGGGGTTTTCAAGCATGGGGGCTCACAAGGGGACCATGGAAATGTTTAGAGAACAAGCATAAAAAAAAATAATGTTCATAATATAATAATAATTTTAAAATTGTATTATTTAAAAAAATTTAAACAAACAAGCAAATAAATAAATAAAACTAGCAGTGAAAATTATATTCAAATACATTTTAAAATGATAAAAATAAACTAGCAAATACATAAATATACATAATATTAAAATAAATGTGTAAATAAGTACAGTACAATAATGAGTCATTACAAATGTAATAATGTAACTCAATAAATACTAAATATTTTTAGAAATAATATTTTAGATATATTTAGAATATAAATTTTTCATAGTAGAAATTAGGTCTTTATACAAGAAACTATATGTAAAAAGTGGTAAGCTGTGATTGTTCCCTTAAAGAGCCATTTCTACCTTATTTAACCTATAACATTTAGTTTTGTTGGTAAAAAATTTATGTATAGGTCGATTCAGTGATATTTTTATACTTTAAATCCAGTTAATTAAGATGTTAACACTTTTTTCAGTGTAGATGATCATATTTAGGGATATGTGGCATCTAAAAGATTGAAAACCTCTGACATGTAGAAGCAATATATTAAGTTTAGTCTTAAACTCAAATGCATTTCCAGTGAATAATGGCTTTAGGATTAAACTGAATCTAAACTGTGATGTTGAGCAACGCTGTTTCTGTTACTGTGGCCAGAGATGTTGCAGAGAATGAAGAATGAAAGAGAGATTAATTCGGATGTCCTGTCTATTATTCAGCACATCTGAATGAATAAGTTAACATGGTGCTCATTCATTATCTTCGGCCCTGACACCTGTTGCTCACTAAACAGTCATCATCTACTAGACAATGATTATGTTGTGGTCTGTCTGTGTGTGGTATCATTGTGTTGATGTTGTGTCGCTGGGGGCCATGGCGTCTCAGTTGATGTAATGTAAACCTCACACTTTTCAGGCACAAATGCAGTGCTAAGTATGCTAAGTAAAACATCTGCTGAAGCACAGAGCTGAGTCTAAACAGCCGACACTGATGTGGGAAGCGGTTCGCGATAACATGGCGAATAGTTCGCCGGTTTAAGTCATGTGAAAGAATGGAGTGTCTTCTTGATGTTTTGTCACAGGCAGGTGTTGTTGAGCATGTGTCCTGTCTGCGGTGTGTTGTTTCAGCGGTCCGATCTAATCCCAGCGCCAAGCCGATCTGGAATGGAGACGACAGAATGTGGCTCTGCCTTGAACAGAAAACAACATGAGAAACTCTATTGTTAGTTACCAAAAAAGCACAGACACAGACAGTCAAAAATAGTTATCTGTGATCAAATGAGCAAGGACAGGCTCGGCTACATGTTTAGTCGCCACTTGCAAGTTTCCACAAACAGACTTTGATATGAGAGAGGTATTTGAGGAGGAAATAGCACTGTCAAAAATCAGCAACAGGCGACATAGATGTCATTTTGTCAGTCTGGAGGACATATTTTATCAAACACATTTAAAAGGGTTTACAGATGTTTCAAGATTCAACATAAGCTGCTTCATATTGTGCTCACGCTATATTTTGTGAGGATGGAATAAACATGTGGACAAGTAATAAAAAATGGTGAAAGAATGACACTTCCACCTGTCCAAAACACACATCTGTGAAATAAATCTAGTTAAAAGTAAAAGTAGAGAGAGTGGAAAACAGCCTGGTTGACGTTCACAAAGAGCCTGTACTGACGTCAGAAACTGCATTCTTATTTAATTACAGATTATGTTTTCCTTCTTCCTGGTTGAGTCAATCACAGTTTATGGCTGCATCCCAATTTGCATACTTCACTACGTATTAAAAGTACATACACTTGTTCAAAAGTTTTCATTTTAAGAAATTCATACTTTTATTCTGTAAGGATGCATTAAATTCATCAAAAGTGACAGTAAAGACGCTTATAAAGACATTTAAAAAACCTTATTTCAAATAAATGCTATTCTTTGAACAAGAATCTTGAAAAAATAATTATCATGGTTTCCATTAAATTTAATTACAGATTATGTTTTCCTTCTTCCTGGTTGAGTCAATCACAGTTTATGGCTGCATCCCAATTTGCATACTTCACTACGTATTAAAAGTACATACACTTGTTCAAAAGTTTTTCATTTTAAGAAATTAATACTTTTATTCTGTAAGGATGCATTAAATTGATCAAAAGTGACAGTAAAGACGCTTATAAAGACATTTAAAAAACCTTATTTCAAAAAAATGCTATTCTTTGAACAAGAATCTTGAAAAAAAATTATCATGGTTTCCATTAAAATATGAAGCAGCACAACTATTTTCAACATTCATAATAATAATAAATGTTTCTTGAGCAGCAAATCAGCATATGAGAATGATGTCTGAAGGATCATGCGACACTGAAGACTGGAGTAATGGTGCTGAAAATTCAGTTTTGCTGCACAGGAATAAATTACATTTTAAAATATATTCAAAGAGAAAACCATTACTTTAAATTGTAATGATATTTCACAATATTACTTTTTTTCTGTATTTTGATGGTGAGCATGAAACACTTTAAAATGAAAAAATCTTACCAACCCCAAAATTCTGAACGATAGTGTACTTTAATGGTGATGGGAATGCATTTTTGATTAATGTAGTAAGCCAATATTGGCACATACTCATCATAAAATTATGTCATCATAATTTTCATTGTGGTATAATGACTATATTATTCTCTGTATTATTTAGAATGGATTGTATGTTGGTTTGGATGCTGTGTATATTTTCTTGCTCAAGCATATTATTATTCTTTTATAGTGTTAGTGAAAGCAAATGCGATGATTTTACTCTGAAATGAACCTTATCAGTATTTTGTGTGAGGGTGGTAAATATTTAGAAAGTGAGACGATGCTGTTGTGGGAATCACGCTTTTGTGTTATATGAGCTGTCTGTAATGTGTTTGTGTGGGAAGCGTTTAAGAACTCGAATGACTTGTTCTCTGTCAACATGCAAAGTTTTAGAAACAGAGTCCCAAATATTGCAACATCACACCACAATCTAAATACGGGACAGTGCTGTATTGTGTGTGTGTGTGTGTGTGTGTGTGTGTGTGAAGTTTTGCTCCTCGGGCAGGTTCTGATCGATAGCGCCGTCCTTCATTATGGGAAGTGCAATTAAGGAAGAGACAGGCCTGCACTTCCCACCCGCCCCAGAGACCTGAATTGATTGTGTGTGTGTGTGTGGGCATACATTAGCTCAGTTCCTACACAGTCAAGACCGCAGCTCTGTGCAAAGAACGGCACTTTAAACAACCATTACCCATCATGCCCCAGTATAAAAGATCCACTTTCATTACACCCTATCATTGCTCATCCCCTGTGTCATTCTGCTCTCTGCTGATCTTTTAAAAGAGCAGCGTTCCTCCTGCTCCCCAGAGGAATATATTATTGCTCAGAGACGATGGCATCTCAGAGATGTTACATTTAAGCATCAACTTTGTCCTCCTAGATGTCTAAAATTCTTAAGGAGAAATATACAAAGACATATATGAGATAAATGGTAAGTGCTGACATACAGCACAGTAGAGTTATTAAATGAATGTGCTCACATAACTCACATACTTTGGTCTTTAAACAAAAAAATTCATCAAGAAATGTTTGAGTTCATTTTGAGATCTCTGGCTTCTGATTCTGGTAATCTGAGCTCAGTTTGAGATTTCTGAGATCCTTCTTCTAGAAGTCTAGAAGAGAGATGTTTGTGAGTTTACTGGGGACCATGTGCTCTCCATTCAATCGCACTGATGTCTAGCAGAAATATTTAAGATATTAACAAGATCTTATTTGTAATTTCCTTGACTGTTTGAGAAGCTGAAATTCAATTTGGGTATATAAAACGCAGAGAAACAGAAATTGGATTATAGATACAATGTGCAGGATTTAGATGGCTGTCAGTACAGACCTGAACGTTGACAGGACTGATAAATTAGTGGAGATAAACCAGCTTTGCAAGATCAAAATTGGGCATGTAGTCTTAAATAAAAATAAAAAAAATCAGATTTGTGGTGTTATGTGCATAAATGTCAGTTCTGAGGTTAATATATAGTAGTGAACTCCTTCAAAAAAGTTGACTTAATTTTCTTTAAACACAAACACACATTAAAAATTTAATCTAGGGTGTTTCAAATGGAGATAAACCAGCTTTGCAAGATCAAAATTGGGCATGTAGTCTTAAATAAAAAAAAAAAAAATCAGATTTGTGGTGTTATGTGCATAAATGTCAGTTCTGAGGTTAATATATAGTAGTGAACTCCTTCAAAAAAGTTGACTTAATTTTCTTTAAACACAAACTTTTTTTTGTTTAATCAAATGCCCTCTAAAATGAGAATTCTATGGTTTTTTGCTACTAAGTAAAAAATAAAAAAGGTATTTGTGACTTCTTATCTCACAATTCTGACTTTTTTTCCTTGCATTTGTGAGTTTGCACCTCACAATTTTTTATTTTTTATTCGACTTTTTTTTTCTTAGAATTGCAATATAAACTTGCAGTTGTGTGTTAAAGTTAAAATTGTGAGATATAAACTCGCAATTCTGAGAAATAAAGTCAGAACTGCGAGTTTATCTCCTAAATCTGACAATTTCTCGAGTTTATCATGCCACCAGTTGCTGTGACGTAAACTAATATGAGAACAGTAATAGTCTAATAATCAGTTTAATAATTCTGAATCTTAAGGGTGATGCATCTAGGGTGTTGATAAAATGCATCTGCATGCATATTTAAACACAAAGTGCTTCCTACATCTCCTGCCATGTACTATATGTGTCCATCATTTGCTGACTGAAGCTTCATCATTTGACAGTCAAATCACCTGACGCAGCACAATGAGAGAGAGAGAGTTACACACAAATGAGTTACCGTGGAGATTGCATGGACGAGAGGCAGATGAGTTTGTCCTTCTGTTCTGAGAGTGAACTGCACAGGATGAGCTCTGTTTCTGACGGGATGCCGTGAGTTAAACGTTCGAGACAGAAAGCATCATCACTTGTATACTTGAGTGGGATGGGAGCAGCATTCTGTAAACTTTACGGCAAAATTACCCAGCAAGTCAAGCATCAGTCTGCAGGTAGGTCATAACAGTGACAGGAACTGAAAAAAAAAAAAGCACCAAAGGGTTTGTTTTTAGCTAGTGAGAAATGCCTCATGTAATCAACATTGGATGAATAAGCAAGTGTATGTGCGTCATGTCGTCTGTGAACACTGGTGAGGATTGTAAAGCAGAGGATGCTCTTCTTATTGTCTATCCAGTTTTATTAATTATACATCCAGTGCATTTTTGAGATAGATTTGGAATCATTTCAGCATTAGGAAGAATGCATAATTTTCAGTAAAGAAGCTTTCACATGAAATACATAAAATACATGCATGCAAATTACATAGAAAATAAAGATTATTTTATTTTAACAATGCATTGTATTTAATGCTCAAAGCACTGTCAGTTTTATATTGCCTTAATGCACATGGTGTTTTCTTCCACTTTCCTTAAACACGTCTAAACTTTTCTACGTTAAAAATTTGCATGTGTGCCATCTTATTTGCAAACCGATATTTTGCTTTCCATTTAGCCTCACGGAAAAACCAACATATTTCAATAAATCTCCTACAGACCGGAACAAATACGATGCACTTTGTTGAGGAGAGTTGTGCTATTACTTTTCTAAAACAATGTGATAAAACATCAGAAATGCTTTAGAAATGCCCTAGAAGACTCTAGCAACACCCTAAAAAAATAATGTTGTAGCATGTTTTTTTTTTACTTATTAGTTAATACATACTATGGAATAACATGGCTGTCTGTTCTTGTTTTCTCTCCTCTAGGTTGTAAATACACGTGTCATGCTCAGTGCCGTGACCAGGTGGCGCTAGACTGTCATCGGAACGGATCCATTAATGGCTGCCCACTCAGCCCTCTTGCTCAGGACCATCTTAACAACAATCAGTCCTCACACAGCGTGAGTACAGAGTTTATTCATGTCTGCTTTCACTTTACATGCACATTCAGTTCAAGATCTTTGAAATAGGGAAGTTAAATGACAACAATCACAGTCATCTGATTGTTAGTGGTGGTTAGGTGTGACCACAAGGGGGAGAACCGTAGCAGACAAACGACCTAAACTAGTCTCAATATTGCTGTTAATGTAGCTTGAGCAATGTTATATTCATTTTTGGTTTTGGTACATGTTATTTTAATCTTCATTGGCATATAACAGATTAACAGTCCTTTAGTACGGCCATTAGCAGACATCATGTGCTGAAGGTTTAAGGGTGTGTTGGTCATAGTTTGCTTATAGTAACTAATTATTGCTTTTCTTTAGTCTTTACTTAGACGCAATGGTGTGATTTAGCTAAAGGATGATGCACTGTTATTTCGCACCATATGAGTGTAAACACACACGCTCATTCCCATTGCACTTGGCTTGGAATATAACAATAGCAGGATATTACTCTTCAGCAGAATTCCTCTGGTCCCCATAGTGTCCAGTTTTGTTCTCATGTGCCTGTGCTGTGAAGACTCTCACCCCCGATGCTCTGTAAACTGTGCGGTATGAATGAAAGATGAGCTGTGTGTGTGTGACCCAGCGGGGTCAACAGACAGGTTAATGTGGTATGTGTGCTATTCACACTAATCCAGCTCGGTCAGTTTAGTGCAATGCAGGAAGAGATATTGGAATATGTAAATTGCTGAGTTACTGTGGCTACAGAGTCTAACTGTATTGCGGACTGGTTGGAATACAAAACGGATTCAAATTGTTTATAAATGGGTGCATTTCATGGAAACTGTCAAGAACATGTCAGCATTTCAAAACAAATGCACCCCAAAATCAAAAATATTTTGGGGGAATTTTTTTGGGGATCGTGACATTATTTTCATGATAACTGGCCACATTTATTCCCCCAAAAGTACATTAAAGTTAAAGTACATTTGGAAAGTACTTTTAAAGTAATTTGTAAACTGTAGATGCATGCTAGTATTTCTAATCTATTCTGATTTTAATTTTATTTAAATTGAAATATAATTAAATTAATAATATGATTATTACCTCACATGTGCTCATATGACCCAGTTTAATCATATTTTTGTCATATATGAAATAAAAATAGTATGGGCCACTATTCACGTTATGTAGTTTGTTTATTTGTTTTATGGATGTTTAGTACATATTGCACTGTTAGATGATGCTGTATCGTGTGTGAGATCTGAAGTTGGTTCGTTAGTAATTTGGGATTAAGCATGGGTGTGTACATTCAAACCAGCTGTCTGCGTCAGTCTAAACATGGACGAGTCTAACGTTCATTTTAGTGTGCGTGTGTTTGACTCTTCATATAGACCCTACATTCCAGACGCCCTCCTCCCCCTGAAGAGTCAGTTGAGTCAGGGCCAGACAAGGTCATACAAACCGCTGACTGCTGAGGGAGGACAGGGTGTCTACATGTAACACCCACTCGACAACACAGAAACAAACCACTGATAAAATACTGGTGGAGATGTACATCAAAACTATAAGACACAACATCAAGTTTGTTGAGAAAATGTAAAATAGCATTTATTTAATATTTTGACTAGCTTTTATTTTTATATTTTTAGTTTTCATTTTCATTTTAAAGTTTGTAATACTGTAATGTGCTTTTGTCATTTTTATTAGTTGTTTTGAATATTTCTATGTAGCTTTTTTAATTGGTGGTTTTATTATTTTTATTTTTATTCAGTTTTTTTGTTGTTGTAATTTTAGTACTTCAGCTTATTTTATTTCAGTTAATTGCTGAGGCAACATGTTTTTCATCAGTATTTATATTTTATTTTATTTCAGCTTTATTTTAACTATATATTTACAGGTAAATAAATTCCTAATCATTATTTAACAAGTAAAAAAAAACAAGTAATATTGTTTGTTATTTCACAGACTTGGCCATCAAAATTTAGCATCAGAACACTCCATTTTTATGAAAGATACCTTAATAAACGTATGTTTATGCTGTGCATAGTGTAAGAGTGATTCATATCTGATGTTTTCCATGATTACTGTAAAGCTGCTGGTGTAAATATGTTTTACCTTTGAAAAAGCTGCTGTTTTATGACTGTTCTGTTGAATCAGCAATATTGTGTGTAGAGCCTGAAAAAGCAACAGAGGTGTAAATATGATCCAAACGAAAAGAAACAAACAGACAGATGTAAGAAATAGAGTCTGTTTACATACGCACACATTACATTAGATTCAAGCACAGACACAAACACAAACCCACAGGTGCATTGACCACAGTAATAACTAATAAGCACCAGTCCATTTCTGTAAACTCATCATTACTGTAAGCAGCAGGAGAGACCATCAAGGACAAGAACAACATCATTTTTACAGCAACACAAAATTTTATGAAACTTGATTTGTAGCCTAGTTCTCCCAAAGAAAGCCATGTTAAAGTTCAGATTCAGCACAAGTGTGTTTCAGAATAATGTGGGCCGTTCATTTTTCCTGTGAGACAGCAGTTTGATAGCAGGCGAGAACTGAATGCTGGGAACTCTTTGGGTGGTGAAGCTGGTCCAAAATGCAAGAGGCGAAGCTTTAACTCCACCACACAAACCACACGCCCATTTGACTCCTACTAACAAAGATATGGGGAAACATGTTACACAATCTGGTCTCTATTGGTCAAGTTTACTATATGTTCAGCACTGGTTTTTGTTCCTGTAAGATTTTAATTGCTGTCAGTAGAGAAGGACAGATATTTTAGTCAAAGTTCACGTCTGCAGTCTGCAGGTCATGTGATGAGATTGTAAATAAATTGGCTGATTCACTTAAGCTGATTTGATTTGGCTCTGCATCACATTGGGTCTAGAGTTTATGCCTGCATCATATTTCAGCCTGCAGCTGATGTCAGATGTCACAGATAACGTGATGTTTGACTAGGTTAAACATGCTATTATACAGGAACACATGCTGTTATGTGCAAATGTGTGTTCAGTCCAATTTAATTCACATTTATTTGTAAAGCGCTTCTCACAATACATTTCAAAGTTCATTTGTTTCAAAGCAGCTTCACTGAAAACAAATGTTTCTTCATTACATATAAGAGTGATATGTTATCATTGGTGACCGTATCACATAATGTCATGCAGTTTCCCAGCTAATAAAATGTTGTAAGATCATTTTGTTTACATTCTCTTTAAGTTATGAAAACGTTATTTCTGAAAGTTATCTGAATGTTCAAAACATTCAGTTTTTTAATAATTAACTTGGTTATGCAACGTGAAGGGAACATTCAATTTTATAATTTTGCAGACATTGTGAGAATGTTTCTTTTAAATGTTCTATGAACGTTTTGAAACAAGTAATAGCACTTAAAAATGTTACAAGAACATCTAAATATAATGTTTCAGAAAAAAAAGTTCCATGAAAGCTGTATGTTATTGTGCTAATGTTTTGAGAACATTACATTCGGTTTTTTGAGAACTGAACAAATGTTCTATTAACGTTACTGGAAGAATGTTTGAAGAACTTTGAGAGAACTTTGCCAGAATTTTGCCAAAGTTTTGAAAACGTTCCCTGTTAGCTGGGTAGTTGATGTCACATAATCATTTAAGCAGAAACAATGAACAAGTTAAAGCAATGATTACATGATGTGAAAGTTTTGGCAGTTTTTATGTTATAATAATTAAAAATAATAATTATGAAGCATCAGTGCAAAACATGTTCTAGTTTCGTTTTGCTTGTGCACTTCGGTAAATTTGCTGTTGGACTGCTAAGTCTACCCTCCGAATGGGTTGGAGCCAAATTCCAGCTGAACCTTGAGTGCTAAAATTCAGTAAGGCCTGTAAAATGTAGCTATTTTAGCATTTAATAACGGATTTGTCTGTCGAACCTCAAGAATTGCATTAATTGTGTAGGCTTAGAATGACATTTGCTTAAAAGGAGTTTGCAAGAAGAATTTGGCAATTATTGCTCCAGTTATGCAGCTTGGGAAAATATGTCATTCTTTGCTGGACTGGAATGCTAGAAGAATTCACTTTGGCTTTTAACTGTCACATGATGACCTAAAGGAAGCTATAAGTACCCTACTATGTAGGTCAGGCCCTTTGACCTAATTGAGGACCACAATCTGTGACCATAATTCACTTTTAGTTCACGCAGCTTTAAAGAAGACAAACCGTCTTAGCAGAATAAGCTAAGAGCTAAGAGCGTCTCTTTCTTCAGATCTTCATTGCTAGGTCAGAGGTAACTATCCAGAATACCTTCACATAACTTTGATCCAAAACCCTTTCTGGAACGTACTACTGTTTTCCAAACGTTGCTACGTAATCGCAGTGCATAAATACATGCATATATGAGTTCTCAGGTCCTAAAAGAGTGTTTTTAATTAAACTAGCCTAAGTTTGTAAATGAAACCATGGAGCCACTAAAACTTAAGACCCTTTCACAGAACACCAGAGAGCAGTTGCTGTGGCTACTTCTATATCAAACAGTAATAAAGTACCTTTCCATGGAAAAGCACACCCAGCCTGTCTGCATGTGAATGAGTGCTTGCTAATTGCTCCCAGCCGTCACCACATTCAGAAGGACTGGATTAGCCGACAGGATCAGCTGGATGTAAAAGTGGAAAGCTCAGCAACGGGTCGGATTGCATATTGCGGTATTTACAAACCTTTGGGACTGATAACAAACCTGTTCCTTAAAACCAGTAGTGGATTGTTCTGACTATAAAATGTGCATGAGCCAAGATATAATAATACATATATAATTTTAACCAGTGACACAGGCTTTAAAAAGTCAAAATTACAGTAAACACGCTGTAGAGATATGCTAGTTGAATGCACTGTTGTATTCAAGTCAAATTTGTTCTCACAATCCATCTGGCCTTATCTTCATCCTTCCACTCGCTTTTCATACAATCATGGACCCATTGTAGGTTCAGTCTAGAGAGTTTGAATCAAGCTATTGTTTATAGAGGACACGTCCAT